CGCCATTTTTGCATACTTACTCATATTATGACCTCCTTCACAGCTCATCAATGACGCTGTTCAGTGGCAAAACTTGTTGCAAAAAATTAATATTATGGTGGAAATTGTATTGCACTAAAGGTTCTTAAAATAAGTGTTCAATAAAGATAGTGTCACGACTAGAAACAAAGGATGGACACGCTTTTAAAAGCGTTATTGCCCCAGCAGCAAAAAAAAAAAACTTTTAAAATCTGAAACCATTTAGGTTTTTTATTAGTGTTTATTAAGGAATTTTCTATAATACAGCTAACAGGTGTTTCCAAAAATCTAGCATCTGTGTTTGTAGCCATTTTTTTCCCAAAAGGTGCCAAAAGTTGCTACAAAAATGGCAAAAGTTGCCCAAAAAGTTGCCATTAATATTCAAGATTTCTACTCTCTGTGACGTCGTATAGCATTATGTTGATAGAGATAAATTAATCAAAAACACTAGAATTTCTTGTGCTCAGTTTTAAGCATCCAGAATATCATTTGTAGCTACACGGAGTGTAAAAAACGTGAAAAATAAAGGTTTCACAACAGAATGAAATCAAAATTAAAACAGCACATAAGCAACCACAAAAATTAGCAAATAGAGGCGTGTGTCAACCCATCCATAGACTGGCCGTTTTAACCCTAAATGTGTGTAATTCAAGAAAAAGTACACGCGCTATTCACACGTACGAGGACGTGTCACGTGATACGAACGAGCGTTTCAAAGTTCCACTGACAGGTCATGATGAAGGGCCCGACTAACCAGCACTCAGACAAAGCTTGCTTTTAAAGCAAAGGTAGAACAAGGATAGATTATTCTTAGGCCTATGTCATAATAGGTCGCATTTAAGGACAAGTGAGCTATCCCAGTTTTCGGGGGTTTACAGAAATCTTGACCTACACCATAGTGGGCTTTGCCCACCTATAGGAGAAGTTTGATTTCATTGGTGTGTATATTTGTTTGGTTATAGAGAAAACCCTCATTGTCTTTTAAAGAAACTGAACATGGGGTGAAAAATGTACCTTCGATTTTCTCAGAACAGCATTTTTTCGGCCCCTTGTACTTAAAAAGGACCAATTGTTACAGTAATAAGGTCACCATCGCAGAATTCTGGGTAACAAAAGCGAAAGTAGATCTTGACCGTATCTAAGTCGGAATCATAGAGTTATCTCCTTTTAAACTAGAGTCCGTACGAGGTCACGTGACACGGAAACATTTGAGTTTGTTGGCCGCCATGTTTCAGTTGGCGGAAACGTTTGTTTACATGTGAGTGGGCGTGTCTCTGCTCTTACGTGTTTTATTTGATTCTAACGTTATATTTTAATCAAGGAGTTTACAGTAATGGAGGATGCTCTGTGGGCGGCACCGCACGCCTGATAGGAGCCCTCTCTCGCAGCGGAATTGTGGTCTACCTGCACTGCGCTCACGCGATGAAATCTTGATAGGATTAAGAAAGTGGGTTTTATTCCGAGATTAGGCTAGTCAATCAGTAAAAATGCCTTCCACCAGTGTTGTGTTTAAATGTAAGAACCGATATGATGCTGCAGTGGACAGAAGTTTTCACAGGTGTTGTTTTCCTTTTTAAAAAATCTGAATGAAAGTGTTTTTATGCCCCCAGAGACACAATTTAGATCATTAACTTTTATAAGGGGCTGGCTGCGGCGCTACCTGCCAAGCCAACCAGGGCAGATAGGAGTACACTGTAACAACACCCCAGAAGAAAGACTGAGATCCTCGATTTAAAAAAAAAACATTCTTATTCGTGTGTGTGTGTGTGTGTGTGTGTGTGTGTGTGTGTGTGTGTGTGTGTGTGTGTGTGTGTGTGTGTGTGTGTGTGTGTGTGTGTGTGTATTTGTATACATATTAAACATTTTAATTAAAGTATATATTGCTTTCCATTGTGTGTGTAAATTAGATGCTATGCGCAGCAAACCTTTATTTTGACGGGACAAAATCTAGAGTCTAGGTTTCTACATGTACCTTGTTTTCATATATTTACTAATCATATAACACACCTTAGCGTGTTGAGATCAATCAGTCAGTCAGACTTGTTTTATGTTTTTAAGCCCATTTATCTCCTAATTACTATAAGACTGCTGTTGTCTAGATGTAGATATCGAGAGGCTCCATTAAAATATGAAATCAATACCCAACAACAATAATCATGAATACCTTCTATTTTAAAGAAACACCAAACCATATCAGATGAGGGAAGGATGCAGGGTGGGTGGATAAGAGTTTGAGTCTTGTTTGATAGAACTATACTCGGTTTGGATCTAAATCTATTGTTGTAGTCTTCACCTAAGATCCCACAATTTATTATTCCAGTTCACTTAAGATTTCGCTGTTCAAAAATAAACCAAACATAGCAACAATAAATTTTACTGCACTAGTCGTGATAAATTGTCCCCCTCTGAAGTGTGAAGGGACTAAAAACGCTGCTTTTCCTATCGTACTTTACTGAACAAACAAAAAACCTTCTAAGGCAATTCTTGCTCATCCATGGGATCACATCTCCGCTCTAAATCTCAATGCGAGGTATACGTTTGCTCCGGACGCGAGGATTTTACGACAAAGGAATCACGCCCAGGTGTGAACTCCTCATTGACGCCTTTGATTTTGCCGAACATCGAACTCGCAATAAGAGCTCCTCATACCCATGTCTTAGAATCATGCAGTCATATCTTAAATTCAGTTTTTAAAAATACATTTTTCACTATTTCTTGTCATAATTAAATCTTTTAGCGTCATGAAAGATGATCTTTATAATTTGGTATGTTTGATAATTTTATGATACTTGGATAAGTTTTTTTCTTCTTATTTTGCCGATCTTCTTGATTTTTAAACTATATATATATAACATAAAACTCTTAAATAATTGAACAGTCCTTAGGCTTTCTCAGTTGCCTAGAACAGTTCGTATCACACACAGAATTTAATTTTTTTTTCTCCCTGTCATTCTTTCCGTCATCCCATCATTTGATCACAATATCTCTCTCT